AACCTCGCCACAGAAACACACCATGCATACAGCTTCTGGGGCTGGGGCTCACATCCCCACGTCCATTTCCGATTATCTACCGATGACTGCGCGGTAGTCGTTGTTCACGCTGATAGGCTGGATAATCAATCTCTTGAGCTTCTTCCTTCTAACCAATCCGCACTCAGTTGCACAGCGTCAAGAAGCACTCTATGTACATATCTATTTCTGGGGCCGCCGCGATCTCATTCACAGCCAGGCGCCAGCCGCGCCTTCTGCGGCCTCCAATCGATATTCGTGTGGGAGCAGAGTTCCTCTCCCAGACCCGGCGCGCATCATCCAATCATAATCCCCGTCTGGGTCCCAAGGCTCGTCGAGCAGCTCCCAGAGCTGCCGGTAGTTCGGCTGGTCCTCGAAACCCAACGAGTGGCAATGCTCGAACCACTTCGAGAACAGCGGGGCCGAGTCCGCCAAGGCGCGCAGCTTGACCTCCAAGTCTCCCTCACCTGCTTCCCACGGGAGCCGCCCTTTGTGGAGGTAGACGAGACAGTTCCCGAGCGCCTCGATGTCGTCCCGCCGGCTCTGTTCTGCTCCAAGATAAGTGAACGAGAAAACAGAAAAACGCGGTCCGTACCTTCGCCGCGATGGGCGCGGTGGCTTGCGAAAACCGGCGTCCCGATGTGTGCGAGGCCCTGGCGAGGAGGGATGTGCGTCATCCTCCTCGGGTCGACAAACAGTTTCGCCAGCCCAAAGTCAATCATGTAAATGCCCTCGTCCATTCCGACCGCGAAGTTCGCGGGCGTGACGTCCCGCAAGACGATCCCCCGCCAGTGTGCGTGAGCGATGGTGGTAAGCTAGGAGCGGCTCAAGTTAGGATCCCGCCACGCACAACTGCCTGGCCTACCATCTCCTGGGCGACGACGCAGACCGTCTGGATCGAAAGCGTTCCCCTGCAGAACCGGCGGAGCTCCTCAAGGGTGGGCCCCAGCAGGTCCAGCACGAGCACCCTTGCATCCCCCGCGCTTCCCGCCCAGTGCAACCGGGGGATACCTCCGTGAGGGGCGAGGCACCGATACACCTGTGCCTCGTAAGGGACCGTCATCAGCCGGCGAGCCTGCGCATTCTCCACTTTGACAGCCACCTCCTGGCCGGTCAAGACATGAATAGCCCTCCACACGGAGGCTACCATTTGCTCTGTCAGCAGGAAGAAAACGGCGGAAAGCGATGCGCACCGAAAGCCCCGAACCCTATCGGCTCCACGCATTGGTAATGACCCCCGACACGGAATAGGCGAAGGCCCCCGGGCTCCGTGCTCTCCGCCGCCCTCTCGTCCGGCGAGGAGCCCAGGAACGCGTGCAGATCCTGCAGCGTCTGCAAAGCAACAGTCGCCTCCAACCCGGGCAGCCGGAAGTCCCCCTCGACTGCACCCGCGTTCAACACCAACGCGGTCGGGAAACCTGGCTGCGCGTTGGCGGCTTCTACGACCCGATACAGGCTTCCGGTGATGATGAGCATCTCCGACTCTCGCAGTGCGGGCATCGCGAACGCCGTCTTCGCCCAGTCGAAGGCCTCCACCAGGTTCTCGGCCTGCTCGCAGAGTGTCAGCGGCGCGGAGACGCCTGCCGTCGCGACCGGGAGCGAATCGGTCGAGCAAAACACGTCCGGCAGCTGGCACACTTGATAGCCCGACCTCTGCAAGCACTCCACCGCATCCCTCGCATCGGCGTGCACCGGAGGAGACAGCATTTTCTCGGCCGCTTCCCAGATCGCCGTAGGGGACGTGTCCCCGCCGGCGACTCGCGCCAGCGCCGTGCGGAGGGTCGCCGCTGGGCTCGCACCCGGAGATTCCCGCGAGGTGAGGCATGCGGTTTCCAAGACCGCACTCAGATCAGTGCCCAGCCTCGATATCGCCGCTCTCGCAGCACCTGAAAAATCCTGGGTAGAGATCGCTCAAAAAACATGACACGAGACGAAGGCACTGACGAAAAGAGTGTCCCGCGGGTCGAACAAGATCACCTTGATCTTACCGGCCGGAACTGGTGCCGTCGCCGCGGCGAGCGCCTCTTCCGGAACCGGAGGCGCCTGGTGCAGCATCCACCCGAAACGCACCATATAGTCTTCATCGTCGTCGTCGTCGTCGTCGCTCGCCGCGACCTCCACGCCATTCACTGGCACTGTCATGTCGGCCAGCTCGATCGCCGCCGCCAATCCCCGGCTGCCCCCCTCGAAGTTTATGGCCGGCATCAGAGATGTTACTTGATGCTGGACAGTGGCAAGTCAATCGAGTGCAGGCGCGAACAAAGTCCCCGCGCACCTTGCGGACACGACGCACCCAACGTATCGTCGCGTCGACCCCCCGCCAGCAAAAATCCGCAGCAATACTGAAATGCGTGAGCACGCTGGCAAAGGCCAGTGGCGAGCAGTACCTCTCGTATGCAGCCAGCTCCTCGTAGATGCGGCATTTACCGTCGGGGAGAAAGCCGTTCGGCGAGGTGAAAGTGAAGGAAAGCCCGTTAGGGGGCATCATTCTCTCCAACTTAGCTGGCAAGGTCCTCGTCGGATAGTGGACCGCATCTTCGACAACCCGCGCTCAGAAAGTGTGGTGGCTCCGAGGCTCTAGGCCTGGCGCGCCGACGACGCTTGCCCGACTGAGGAAAGGAATCGGGTAGTTGTGAACGTAGGTTGTGCGCTCCGCAGGACAGCCCGCTGTCAGGCTCAACGTCTTGTCGATCCCGTTCAGTGCAAAACGACGGTAGCCGGCTGGAGGCTTGCACTCCTCTGTATCGATGACAAAGAGGTTCCCCGCCAAGCTGAAGCTGCCTTTGATCATCAGCGCGAGGAAAGGTACCGTCTCCAGCTTGGCCGCCTGCTGTTCTCCATGGTAGGACATCCATGCCGCTGATTCACTCGGAAGAAGACGTGCAACGACGACCTCAGAGGAGGTCATGGTCAGTGAACGTGGCAACGTAGGACATCAAGGGCCTCGTGACCTCGGCAAACCGCGATCAGCGTTCTAGTGCCGAGTCACCCGAGTGGAAGGATTTGCGGACTACAATTCAAGAAGCTGCTCTTAACCTTCGAACAAATCAACGGCTCGCCGTCCATTTCATACACATCATCGCTGAACCGAAACCTCGATCCCGTAAGGGTAAACTCACGTTCGAAAGTCCCGTCCGCGCGATAATGTAGTCCTGTGGTTACCACGCCATCATAGTTCACACCGTGACTTCGTCACTTTTAGGCCACTTTTAGTTTAATCCGATGAGATTTTGAGTGGAAGAAAAAACTGGGGTGAAATCAGACTCGATACTTATCATTTTAAAGGCCGCCGAAGTTGATGTTAAAACATCAAGTTTTTTGTCAAATAATCTCCGAATGCCGTCGCGGCGGATCAACTTCCAATGTCCCTCTCGGCCCTCTCCGGCATCCTGCCCTCGAGCCATCCTACAATGCGAATCTCAAATATCGGGAGCAAGGCCCGTTGAGGCATGGAGTGCCTCGGGCATCTGGAATTTGTCGAAGTTTCCGTCAGGTATCCTGTTTTCAACTCGGGGGGGTGTGAGACGGGTACATCAAACTTTTTGCGCCGCGCACTTCATTGAAAGTCCTCCTCCCCATTCTTGCCGTGTAATCTAATCCAGGAAGGTCTTCATTGTTTCCTTTCATTCATCATCACGGCAGCAAGGCTTCCAATTATTCCCTGCCTAGTCGGCCTTCGCGAACATCTGGTGGGTTCAGGCTCATCCTGACTCTCCTTCAGGGAATCATTCAATCGCAACCACACAAATCCGCTACAGTGTATGCTACAGTCCTCATGATCTGGCAAATGGATATCTCAGCGATATTTTTAATCATGAAAAACAAAAAAGCAATGACCGGCTCCCTCATTCGGACGCCAGGAATCGAACCTGGTTCTCTCCCGGTCCCCGGATAAATAATATCATGGCATCATGAACCAAGATGCAGGAGTGTGTACCATTCACCATGCCTGATTTACCTTGTGGGTTGACTCCTGCATAATCCGCGAGATCTCTAAAGTGATAATGCTGTGGACTCAACATTATCTTTCCATCCTAATCCCACCTTGTTTTCGCCAGAGAATCGGGAACTGGGGACTGAGAGAAAAATGTGGAGTTCAGTCCGAGCCCGGCGCCCGGAATCGAACCTGGGTCTTTCCTGGATGAATCATGTCAAACAATACAATCACGTAGGAGTGTGTTCAATACACCACGCCCGGTGAAATAGCGAGCTGCGAGCCGTTCTATACCAATGAACAAACCGAACAAAGTGGGGGAACAGTTCAAGCTCACGACTGATAAAAAAGGGACGGAGAAAGCATAAATCGGGTGCCGGAATCGAACCTGGGTTTCCCCTCAATCCATGGTATCGTTTACATAGTAGAAGGAGTGTGTTCCATACACTACACCCGATCAAATGTCCGTTAGCTCCTTCAATAATTACTGGATGGCGATACATATTATGTAGTACTTCAGTCAGGGTGAAGCGATGAGGACTGACTTTCGGTCTGGCCAGTCACACGTCCAATAATATGAATGAGAAGAAAGCCCAGACATAAACCAAAATCGTGATATTTTGGGATGTACATTATCTCGCTCGCAGAGGAAAAAAAAGGGTTGAATATGACGAATGCGACCACGGTGCCAGGAGTCGAACCTGGATCTCTTCTTGGTGAATTACACCGATATCTCAGAAATGACTAGGAGCGTGTGTCCATACACCACACCCGATGAATAGGCACGCGTGCGCCTGGATGATCCCACAACCTATAAGCCAGGTGCAAAAAAACAAAGTCGGGTACTGGCAAAATACTCTACCTCTTCTATTTCGGGCGCCAGGAATCGAACCTGGTTCTCCTCAATTCACATTATCGTTGGTCCCATTTAAGAGGGAAGAAGTGTGTTCCATACACCACACCCGACTTCTGTGCCTTCTGGCAAAGCGGAAAATATCAAACATATCTGAAATGTGAAAGGGAAAAAGATCAAACCAAAAGCCATTTATTCGGGTGCCAGGAATCGAACCTGGGTTTCTCCTGGATTAATCACTTCCATCGCAACAGCATGGAAGAGGGTGTTCCATACACTACACCCGATTAGAATCGAGAGTCAGGTCTTGAACGAAGCGATGTATGGCCGCACTGGAACATCTTTTAGATGCGCGCCGCACCAAGCCGATACGGATGTTGAAAAATGCACCTACGAGTTGTGTGCCGACGGTTACTTCCATGAAACATCCGCGATGTGCCGAATCCCAGCGGGTGTTCATGAAAGGAGGAGAGAGCACGAGTCGCCGTTCCCGGTCTATATGCGAACAAAATTCCTTACCACTAGAAGAGGTAAAACGAGGAACCATGACTTTTAACGACTCAGCGTCGAACAAAAAACTCTGCTTGATCGATGAAGCCAGTGGAAAACGATGCAGGTGCCCGCCGGGCGCACCCGGTATTCCCTCACTATCTTGAGGTTGAGTTGAGTGAGATAGTAGGATGGATGTCAACTTGACTCCGAGTTGTAATAAATATCAAATTCGTACCGGACGCGGACACAGAACATCAGGGGGACATTCGCGGAGAGTGGGGTTTTGGTGGAGAGCCCGACGTACTCCAAGACTATCTGCGAATAAAACTCCACAGGGAATGAGAGGATGGTAATAAAACAAAAGGAGTCATTACCGAACACCGTTCGTACATGGCTCAGCCCCGAGTCGAACGGGAACTCTGCTTGATTTATCTACACCTCCAGTCCAAACGATGCAGATGCGCGCCGTGCGCCGCCAAGCCTTCCAACGCTGAGTGGGGTGGGAGAAATAGAACAGCCTAGATATCAATCAACCTTCAACTCCTCGAGACATCTCAATTCGCACCGGAAACAGACAATGGACATAGAGCCAAGACATCGCGGCAGCTGGAAACGAAATTCCACTCTCGTCGAGAGTGCATACATGGGGAGAGAGCGCCGCATTCCGAGTCTGCATGAGAACAAAATTCATCGCCATCAGAAGAGAATCAAAAGAACAAAAGAATCAACAACCCGTATGGCTCAGCCCCGAGTCGAACGGGAACTCTGCTTAATCACCATTGGCTATCGTATACAGATGCAGATGGTGGCCGGGCGCCATCGAGCCTTCCGTCACCATTTTACCGTTGATCTGAGTGATGTCGGATAGATGTCAACTTATCTCTGAACAGAGAGGTTGAAACGAATTGGTACCGGACGCGGATGCAGGAGGGCAGGAATGACGTTCGCATTCGAGTTGAGGCCGAAAATATTTCGTGAAGAGCTGGCTCGGAGTTAAGTGCTGCGCAGCAAAATTCCACCGCCATTAAAGAAGGGGTAAAAAAGAAACGATCCGCGCGCATGGCTCAGCCCCGAGTCGAACGGGAACTCTGCTTGCATCTGGAATGCTACAGATTGATGGGATGCAGATACGCGCCGGGCGCCACCGAGCCTTCTCGAAATGTTTAAACCCTGAGCTGAGTGAGTAAGGTCAGCTATGAGTTACATCAAGTTGACTACGAACAAGAGACAAGAGCAGCGTGCGGGACGATGTTCGAGTTCTTCATGTATGGTGAAGACCGAGAGCGCGACACATTACGAGTCCCACGTCCGCCCGATCTGCGCACAAGTTGGATTTCGGATTCGGATTCCCATTATGAATTCGGGCAGGGAGGCCCGGAGTACGAGTCAGTCACCCCGGGTCAAAACAGTTCAGCATTCGGCTTGGATAAAGGAAGGAGATTCGGAGGCGCACGCAAAAATGGAAGAGAGCCTGAAGGCGGAATGCTCAACCTCCGGTAGTCCCAGACTCCAATCTCCGATCGAGGACGATAGCGTTAGCGCTAGCATATATTGCCCGGGATGCAAGGAGAGGAACAGGAGCCTCGGAGAGGTGACGAGGATGGGATGGAGAAGGGGCGGCGAGCACGCGAAACGAGTAGAGTTATAAGAAAGAGACCTGCTCCCGCATCAAGTTGCAAGTCGTAGTGGGGATGTTGTCCACCCACCTCGTCTCGTCCCGTCGACAGTGCAGGTGGAAGAGATTCCTGGGGGGCATGGGAGGGGAATTCGGGCATCTTTGGGGATATCAACGAAAAGCGAAATGGAGTGGGACACCGGCGCACCACAGACATCGATAAGCTGCTTCCCGTCGATTTGGGTCGTACCAGGGGCGGATCTTCTCTGGCCGAGTAGCGGAGTCTTTTTCCACCTCCCTTCCCAAAATCAAGCGGAAGTCAAAGTTGATCCCAACGCCAGTCGGAGAACGCCAGGGTACCGGATCTTAGCTAGCACCTCGATCCATCAGCTTCAGCTTTCGATGTCTCAGAGATCGTGGAACGTGATTCTTGCCCTCGCAATGCCATCGATTCAAGAATTGATCCCGGGCGAGAAGGGAAGAGGTCTTGCGGGGGAGGTTGGCGAAGCCAGTTACAAGCAGTACGCGCACATCATGTTGGTCGCTGGTGAAGAAGTGCAGAATCAAATGGCTCGATGGCGGAGTTGATGGTTTTCGGACGGGGCCGAGAGATGCCGAGGAAGCCGAACGTGGTCGTGTCCTGGTCTCTTTTTCCGGATAACGACGGTGGCGCAGGTCCCGGCGAAGAAAAGACGTTTGCGGTAGGAAATATCCAGAAAAACAAACTTCCGAATCCCAGGGCCGACCTGCATCCTTAACTAATACTAATACTAAATAAGCTTGAATCACGATGCCGTCATGTTTTGATTCAACTTCCGGCGTCTCTCCGGCATCCCGCCCTGGAGCCGTCCTACAACCAGAACGACAAAGATCAGAAGCAAGGCCAGTAACAGGCATGGTGTGCTTCATCTCCAACTCGCCGATGTTCTGGGAGGTATCATTGCTTTGCACCAGCCGGCCACTCCGGGCGACGCTGGGGTTCTGTCCTCTTACTACCCTGCGTTGAGGTAGAGGCATCTGGGGGACATATGTTCAAGAAATCTCCAGTTCCCTCAACTGTTGAGGCTTGATCTTCTGGGCATCTGCAACGTGATTCACGCTGTTGCTAATTTGAGGGGGGATTTAGGGCAGCCGGCCTTTGCCGTATTCGGCGGTCTGACGCGCCGAAGGCGGGGGCGCAGGCGGCGCCGGTACGAGAAGTGTTCCCGCCCACACGACCCAGAAAGTAAATTTCGGACGAGGTGGTGGTACGGGGGAATACAGTCTATCCAGGTTGGTTGTTTTGCGGACTGAAAAGCCAGAGATAAAATTGATCTGAGTGACAAGTGTTGTCTATATCCATGAGGTTAAATTATATTGTACAAGAAATCCGAGGCTATAAACGAGAATATGTATACGCTTTTATACCAGAGAAACACTTGTTTCCGACAGCGGGGGTCACCCGGCCTTGACGATGACGGATCTAGACTTCCTCGACCCGTCGGCGCTTTGCCGATGGCCCGCTCTCGACGGATGAGGCTTTACCCAGGAAGTTCGACGTCGGGTTCTTGAATTCTTTACAGTGCTCGAAATGCCGCTCATAGTCCGTATTGCCCTTCTTTAGGGAGAACTTCTTTTCGCAGAAGAGGCACAGCTGCATCTCCGACCGCAGATGGTCGTCCGTAATGTGCTTCGCCATCTTGTCTAGTCGCACCCTCTTCTGGCACTGTGCCTCCGCCGCGGATATAGGCCCCCACACGCAATCAATTTCGGGGAGTTTCGTGACGCCGATCCTCTTCCGCTCGCAAGCGCGCGGAAATCCGTGGCAGTTGACGAGATGCGCGTTGATTTCCGATGGCTTTCCGTCGAGGGCCTGGTCGTGGCAGAGGGACTGCGCGACTCCCTTTGCTGTGCGCAACACCCTACAGGGGTAGACTCTGTGCTCGTGCTCGGGCCCCATGGTTCTGACAAGATCTGCGACGGAGCGCCGTCCCAGAGGAATAGGCGGGTCCTCAATTTGAAGGTCATTTTCCCTGTTGTGGACGTCGGCGTCAAAGACCTCAAACGAAGCGCAATTCGAGAGTTACTTACCCGGCGCCGGGAGCACGTTTGGGAGCGCGTTTCTTACGCGGCGCCGTGGAACTAGGCGGCGGTATGAGCGTTGGATTTCATCGTGCAAAGGAAAAACACGTACCGAGCGGCCTTGTGTACTGCAGATGATGCGCCAGCGGGTGGCAAGACGCCAGCGTCAAAGGTAACGCTCGATGAGGTATCGATTGACGGACTATGATCTCTAGCCCGTTTCAGGGTGCCTGTGGGCGGTGGCGCACTGGAGGACGATGTGGAGGACCTGTGATTCGCGGCTTGTGAGACACTCGTGTCGACGGGTGCAGGATGATTGACGTACGATGTAGGTGGGATGTACGGAATGTATTCTTCAGGTATGAACGGTCCGCATCCATTCAAAACAACGCCAGTGCCGTTCGAGAGCCTACAACGTTTCAGAAAGAAGGAAGGGAGCATGGGACAAGCGTGCGTACCTCTCATTATTCTGCGGTAACTCGGAATTCGTTGACCTAACGCGAAGCGGCACGGAGTCAGACACGATTTTAAAATTTCAAGGGGGGAATTCGACATACGGGCCTGCCTCCGCGCCTACACCAGTGCCTCCAAAACCAACGTATTGGGAACTACAAGCAGAGATATGAGTCACAATTCAGAGACAATAAATGGGGGACAATGCGAAATACCTTTTGAGACGCGGTCCTGTGACCTCGATGGAGTGCGAGCTGTCGGATCACATTAGGTCGGGGGTCGGTATATAAGGAGGCAAGAACGCACCTCAGTTCCATTATTCCCCTGTTCGCGTGGTACGGCCCAGGGGGAGGAGGGAAGTTGGCCATGGAGCCAGACGCGTTATAGTGATGATACGGCATTGCGGTGGGGATGACAGCGAATGGCGTCGCGTTTTCAATGCGGCGTGGGTGGAGGTGCGCACCAAATGCGGAGGGATACATGCTGGGCGGATGGAATCCAGTTGACACGCCAATCGGTGGTGGCATGCGCCACATTCCGGCTGCCGGAGCCGGGGTGGGGACATATGCCGCGGGAAGTGGAGCTATACGTCGTTGGTCTCGTGGATAATGGACAGCGGGGATCGCGTTGGATAAGTGCAGTGGGCCGACATGCGGATTCTGGTGGCGCGCATGCGAGGCGCTTTGGAATGGCTGAGTGCCGTACTGCAAAGTAGAAGCGGGAACATCGGTGGGATGCGTATGACTGGACGGAGGCCACGACCGCAACACGGGAAGGCCTGTGGGTGCGAAGTCGTGCTGGGCTGCCGAGGGTGCGTTCGTGTGCAGCGCGAGCTCGTGTCTGCCCGAAGCCAACGCGCCTGGGTCGAGACTCGTTGGCGCTGCCGCCTCTGGTGTCATCTCTGTGGCCTTTTCAACGCTGGACGAAGTGGCTGAAATACACCCAAAAAGCTCCTCCTCCAGCGCCGAATTCCCCGAGTCACCATCGAGCGTTAAGCCCAGCTTCTGGCAATCCTCCACTGTGAGATAGATGATGTCGTCGTGGATAATATCAAGAGGCATTTCTAGGATTGGGACTCTTGTACAGAATGCGAGGTGGCAGAAGGTTCGAAGGAGAGGCTTCCAATTTCCAAACGACTTTGATGCAAACAAACGTGACCGCTGTGCATTATTTTTGGCTTCTGGAATTCCGCACACAACAAAGGAGAACCGCATGCACTCCTTAGGGCTGTCCTATCTTGCTGTCGCGAGATTTTTATATTCCAAAACCAGACTCCAGAGACGCGTCGGCCCAGTTCAGCGGTTGCAGGCTGTGTTTCTCGGTAGAATCCGACAATCTACGTTGAATCAACCAGGAACCCCCAATCCTCTTCAGATCTTCCGCTTTCTTGTTGCGCTTGGTGGGATTACGGAACCAAAAAATCAAGAAATGTATAAGTTATTCCCGTCGAACACGAGTCCTTTTGGGTCCACGCGGCCGGGATGGAGTTTTTCCACAGTTTTGAGCGGAAAGCCATAGCATCCATCCCCCCTGCTTCGTTCTTTAGACTTCTGAGATCGGGAGAGCGCCCAGAAAATAGGAACTGGGTGACGCCAAACTGCAACACAAGACAAAGATGTTGTTACTTGAGGCGATATCCTGAGGAGGTTTTTGAACCGCGATGTAGATCTTGGGCGGGTTGGGGGTCAGTATGGCTTTCGCGGAAATGCGGAGGGAGAGGAGAGGTAACAAGGCGGTATCGCCACGTGTCATGACTATCATGATTGCACATCAATGATTCAAATCTTCCTTGCTTACTCCTCCGACTCGCACAGATGAAAGATTCGATTCTAAAATGGCTTGATTGACCGGCTACCCGATTCTTCCCTGCAACTGCCAGTGCCCCCATGCCGTTAGCGCTTGCTGCGGATCTGTCGAAGTCTGCAATGCCTCAAACGATACCGGACTCCGAGTCACTTGGATGCTTCACATTTTGTGTGAACACGAGCATGTCCTGTTAAACGCGCTCAAATATCTGTAAGTGCGCAAAGTTTCCACGAAGTATCCGTTCAACTCGGGCCGGGCTGTTCAGTGCGTTGTTAAACCTTTGTCCCGCGCACCTCGATCCTCCTCGGCGTTCTCCCCTGAGCCAGAGCACTCATCCCACCTCTTGATCAACGAGTGCACTCAACCGTATGCTAGATGCCCGAACAAACGTCTAACCTCGAGTATCATGTTCCTTCTTCTTTCTTTCGAGTGCGAGACGGTAGAGGGGTGTTCAATATCGCAGACCTTTGTGTGAGCTCGGAACTGGACCTGCACCTCCGAGGTATGTACTTTTCATTGAAACTGACAAAAAAAAGAACAACAGTATCCTTTCATTCGGCCGCCAGGAATCGAACCCGGTTCTCTCTCGGATAAACACCATCACATCGTGAACCAAGATGCAGAAGCGTATCCTATCCCCCATGCCCAATTGACCTTCTCCGTTAACTTCTGCATAATACGGGAGGACTCTGAAGTGATACTAACACTGAGGACTCGGAATTCTTTCCCTCTTGATCCCTCCATAGTTTCCCCAGAGAATAGGGCATGAGAGCTGAGAATTATAAAAATAAAACCGCGGACTTAGTCCGGCGCCCGGAGTCGAACCTGGGTCACTCCTGGATGAATTACATCGAAACAGCATAGTCACGCAGGAGTGTGTTCCACACACCACGCCCGATGGAATAGCGCGATCTGAGGCGGCATATCCCAGCGAAAAGAGCGAAAAGCTAAAGAGTTCAAGCGGTCTGAGCACTCACGAATAACAAAAAGGGAGGAGAAATCCATAGTCTAAATCGGGCGCCAAGAATCGAACCTGGGTTTCCCCTTAATCGATGATGGTCAATATGCTCACGATGAAGGAGTGTGTTCCATACACTACACCCGATCAAATGTCGCGTTCTCTCCTTCAATAAGTACCGATCGTGGTACCTAGCACTTCAGGCCCGGTGAAGTGATGAAGAGGATCGACTTTCGGCCATTATCGGTTCAGGGTCTGAAACCAACTTTGTCTCGACAATCATCATGATATGCACAATAAGAAAGGGGAGACGAATCAAGGGATGCCAGGGGGCCCGGGGATCGGGTTTGCCATTAAAAAAACCATAGTCGATGCTCACGCAGGTGCCAGGAATCGAACCTGGGCCTCTCCTGGATGATCAATGAGATAATGGTCGATCATGTACTATGATGTAGGAGTGTGTTTCGTACACCATACACCATGCCCGAAGAACTAGGTGCGAGCCTGAATAATACCGCAACCTGGATGGGGGGTGCAAACAACAAAGTATCAGGGTACTGGCAAAATATTAGACTCCATTTATTTCGAGCGCCAAGAATCGAACCTGGTTCTCCTCGATTCATTTCTTCTCAGTTCCTAATGAAGAGGGAAGAAGTGTGTTCCATAAACCACACCCGCCTTGTGTGCCCTCTGGCAATGCGGAGTATATCAGATATATCTGAAATGGGAAAGGGGAAAAGATCAGACCCAAATGGCTTATTCGGGTGCCAGGAATCGAACCTGGGTTTCTCCTGGATCCATCGCTTCGGTCGTCCAGCATGAAGGAGAGTGTTCCATTCACTACATCCGATTAGAATGACGAGTAAACTCTTGTAATAAGGAATGTGCCTTGAACTACACCCGATGAAACAACCATCTCTTAGCCTGTAAAAGATGGAAACTTAGAGTACTCACGATTCCCAGAAAAGGACGATTCCCACGATTCTTATTCCCAAGTTCTGAATCGGGTGCCATGAATCGAACCGGCGCTTCTCCTGGATCCAATAGTTTGATCGGAGCTGGGGTAAGATGAAAGAGCGTGTTCCATACACCTGATGAAATAGGCTGGTGTACACTCAGATAATATCAGAACCTGGATGCGGGTTGCAAACAACAAAAGAGGGTGCTGGCAAAAGAATCTTTATTTCTCCACCTAGTTCGGATGCCAGGGATGGAACCTGGTTCTCTTCAATCCAGATTTCCGAAGATTGTCCGGGCGGAAAGTGAAGAAGTGTGTTCCATACACCACACCCGACTATTGTACCGTCTTGCAATATACTTGAGGTGCGAGTGACAAAAGAGATCTAGGCAGGAGTTATTCTGCCGCCAGGAGTTGAATCCGGGTTTCTCCTGGTTCCAGGGTATTACGAAACCCGAAGATAGAGGAGCACGTTTCGTCCAGGGACACTACGCTCGATGAAATCTCTGGCTGTGACCCTGCATAGGGAAAGGTTATTTGTATAGACGGCAGTTTGTGAGAATCGCCAGATCTGCCACCCGTTGATTTAAATTCATGACATCCAACACGAAATTTAAGAGTTTCTTTGTTGAAGCCTCTGTCTACGAGGCCGTAAAACTCCTCCAATTTGATTGGAATCCTTGTCCGTAGCTTTAAGCTCATGGACATTGTGTAGTTTTGACCAGGTGTCTGGTTCTGAGCCCGATTTGTAACGTGTAAATAAATTCAGTTCGGTTTAAGCGGTCTGGTCAGGTCCAGTTATTGACCCAATCTCAACAGAAGAGAATGTTTCTCGTCGTATCTCAATGTACAAAAAAAGAAACTGCTGTCCTAAGTTGAACCAACTATATTCGGGCATCTCGGGCATCTCAGCCAGTCTCTGTGTCAATTAGAAATGGCCCGAGGGCATAATAGCGGGTTTCTGACTACACCATTCATACTATAAAGCCACGAAGCACACACGATTCGCCTCAGGCTGAAATCAATGTGCCAGAACTCGTGTGCTGCTCTTTGAACAGTTACAGAATGGATTCGGTCTTGTGGGTGTGTCTGAGTATGCAGAGTGCCCAACACAAAGGAAGTAAATATTAACATTGCCTTCAGATTCTGTTGGTACATGCTGGGTGCACACAAAAGCATAATTAAGCTGTAAAGAACAATTACGGTTTCAGCGCCAACATCGGCCATCACTCGGCATTTGATGCCACCACTCGCTTAAAAGCGTGCTCCTGGTTTCCATACGAAGCCCTGTCTAATACCTGCAGAAAGTTTCTATATAAGTGGGTGAGAAATTTTTCACAATGATGTTTCAATCATTGGAGTTCGAGGAATTCTCGATAAAACGGGTTGGTTGTGAGCGAATATCCCCCAAACAGAGGAGGATCAATCCAGGTCTGTACATTGTATGTAGTAAGTATATTCTCGCACCTTCCGACGTAATATATGGAGAGGAACCGCGATCCCCACCATAACAAAAAAGACATGTGCCATTTTGATTCCGGTGCGAGTAAATTGAACCTGGATCTAGAAGCTGGGGGCCTCATCACTCAAACTGCGCTAGACAGAACAGAGAGAGCGAGTATATACCGACAGTTTAGCGTGCAACGTTTGACTGTCTCCGGAGTTGGCTGCCTACGGGAACTTGGAACTTCCAAACACGCTGGTTCAGAAACCTGACCGCCAATATGACTTGCCTGTAACCATAACCGACCGCATACGATCAATCGAGTGCGTCACGGGAAATACGACGAAACATGGAGTAATAAGAGATATAAGAGACCCTCAGGAACCCATTTAGAGCTAAGAATTTTAGCAGAGGTTGAAACCGGAAATAGCCGGCGCTGCCGGGGATCTGCGGGACGCGGCTGGGGTCGCCAATCATAACCAAACTTTGATCTTCCGTCCTTCAAGTTCTCTCACATTCGTCTTCGGTAGACTCGTTGTTCATGTTGTGGACCACGCGAGTATAATAAATCCCCCCCCCCGGTACCTGGCTTAGATCTGGCTCAGATTCACACATACCGCTCTGCGGTCCTCTCCTGCCAGTGATATTAGCGAGCTCATCGCATGCCGTCACCCTTGAGAAACTGACAACGCGCGCTCCAGATACCAAACTCACGGAGACTGGGAGTTTTCCTATCCACCTTGCAACGCAATGTGCTGACCTCACTATTGACGGCCTTTCTGTTGTTCGGACTCCCGCTGCCGGACGCACATTACCGCGTACATGGGCGATATCTTTCCGGGTGCTAGGGGATTCCTTCGCACTCCATTCCTTTTCCTGCCGATTTGTGTACTTCCCACTGCAGTGTCGCTGGCGATCTTGCGCGTCCAATATCCGCGAGTCGAGCTGCTACAATCAATCGACTTCTGTGGTGATCTCGTCGATGTTCAACGCCTCTCTTTCCAATTTTCCTTGTCATGACTCGACTGAGATTCCCCGGCGACCAGCATCAAGGCAGAGCGTATCCTACACGTGGCCCCGACCCTTTTGCAGATCCATATCGCTTCCATGGGGAGGTCCCTCAGCGTACGTTGCACGTCGATTTTATTTACTGTGAACCATGCATGCTTGGATTAATGTAGCGCAAACGCCGAATTCCGTCCGCCGCGGAACGCCGACTTCCTCCTCGCCGCGTCCGCGTCCCCTTTCTCCAGCGCCACACCACTGGATTAGCATCACACCCGAACAACGATTTTGCCAACGTGCGTCTGGGCCTGCAGATACTCGTACGCCTCTCTCAGTTCCGCGAATGCGAACACCCTATCCACCACCGGTCGAATCCCGTGCTCTTCTATGAACATGTTCATCTGGCGGAATCTGGTGGAGGTGAGCTCATGCACGGATACTAAGTGAATCATACCCACAGTTCAACCGAACCAATCTGTACCCCGCGGAACTTGAGCGCCTTCATGACCGCTGGATTCAAGATGTCGGGGAACCTGGTCTACATGCGAGAATGTTAGTTGGGGATTCGCGACGCGCATGCAAATCCTACATTTTTCCCGACGGTGAAGCTTGCGCCAATGATCTCGATGTTGCCGTACATGCGCACCGCATTCATGGCGCGCGTAAGGCTCGCGGGGCCGCCGATCTTCCGGTGAGCGTCAACATTTGAAATCCATTGTCTGCATTGAAAAGGATTCCTACCTCAAGGACATAATCCACTCCGGCGCCGTTGGTAAGTTTCAATACCTCCTCGTCCCACTCCGGAGTCACCGTGTAGTTCACCACATCCTTAGCACCGAGCGTCCTCGCCTTTGTGAGCTTCTCATCAGACGAGGAGGTGACGATGGGGTGCGCGCCCAGTGCCGCGGCGAATTGGAGTGCGAATCTGGTGAAAAATAAATGCATATCACAGGTGAGTGAGTTGAAGAGTCCGGCTCGGGCATCGGCGTAATTGAATATTGATAGACGTACATCGAGACGCCACCCGTTCCTTCGATGAGGACAGTGTCCCCCGCCTTGACGGGTTCGGGCCCGCGGAGCGCGTTGTAGGCCGTTAGGGCTGCGCAGCTGGCATAAATGGTGAGCAAATTGCGCTCCCAAGAACGTACGTCTCTTACGGAAGTGTTGAAGCCTCATCGTACGATAGGTGCGCGGGGATCCGGACAAGGGACTGCAAAGGCCGGACAATGAGTAAATCATCGCTACTTTCCGTCGGTGCGTACATGGACTTACATGTGCCGGGAACGCCCTGAACTGCGTGAGCACGCCGGGAACCGCTGCCCCGAGCGTCGCCTCCCTCTGGGGGGTCAGCTGGCCGTCGACGTAGTCCGGGAAGAAGTTCGCGCACACGCGGTCCCCCGGCGCCCACTCCACGACCGCGTCTCCGATCGCGAGGATCTCTCCCGCCATGTCGGAGCCTGGGATGAGGTTTTCGCTGCGTGCGTTCATCTTTGCACAGTTGATTGTTTAGCTAGGTCAGGGCGACTCACGCAGAAGGGAAGAGTCCTCGGACGATCATTAGGTCGCGGGCCTACACACAGAGAAATTCGTATCAATATCAGTTGTCCTCTTAAACACTTGCTGATGCGGGGAGCCTACCTGGAGAGAAACGGCGTGCACTTTCACCAGCACCTCGTTATCAGCCAGCGGCGGAATGGGAGATGTCTTCAAATTTAGATTTTCGAAAGCGGTCTCGCCAAC